AATAAATCCAGAGCTTCCCGCTCGAATAGCAGCATAGCAGTTACAATCATCCTCACATCAAATCCTGAATATCCTGCTTGGCTCAATCTCCGGGTCCCAAAATAACTGCTTGGAGATACGCATCAAATCCCGAAATAACTGCCTGGAGATACACATCAGATCCCGAATATTTTGCTGGGCATGCCACGTGGTTCCTTCATGGGAACATATAAATACCCCCTCAAGGGCCACGCCAAAAGGTAATTGGAACCAACCCTAAGCTTCTTGTTTCTCCGTTTTAAAGGTAGCCCCGATTATCGCTGACTTAAGCATCGGAGTGTCTACCCCGAGAATCCACCTTGGGGCTTTGCAGGTCAATCCAGAGTGCAGATACGGACTGAAGAAGGGCTTCTGGTTTGGTGCAGTTACAGTACTTGCAGAAGCTTTTCATGTGATCGACTTGATTTTCCTTGAATTTTTAGGCCATAGAAGACTGGTGGGTGTCTAGATCTGGCTTCTGTTCTCACCGGAAAACTGTCATTGAATTTTGCACTTCAAGGGTCTTTGATTTCGTCTTCTTTTTAGTACGATGTTAGAAGCAAAGTTCCCTTTCCCGTCTTCAGCTAAGCTCTAACCTCTGTTGCAGCATTTAAAGAAGAGATAATTTTTGCTTCTAAAATAAACAATGCAGGGGCGAATTAATTCCTTTTTTTGAATTTATCTAACTTATTAAAAATGTAATTAATATATTATTTATTATTAATTAAAATAAAAAATTAATATTAATTTTATTATTAATATTTCATATATTGTTTTAATTGAATAATTAATCAAATAAATATTAAAATTTATTTTTAAACGACAATTAATATTAAAAACAAGTTAAAAAAACCCCTTCCTTTTACTCCTATTTGTCTACCATAATGGGACTTTAGGCATAAATATAGGAACTAAGTGCCTGGAGCTTTGTATTGATCTAGGATTTAGGCGAATTTAAGCAGTTTATCTCCAAAATCCCATCACAAGAATATTCTAACCTTTTCTTTCTTTTCTTTCTTTTTTTTTTTTAACCCAAAAAGCTTTAATCTAATCCTTTATTTTCAAGATATGAAAAATTAATTTTTTTTTTCTTTCAGTAAGCCAAAAAAATCTCCTTGCACATCTATTCACAAATCTGAAGATCCCATATTTTTTAGGTTTAATGAGAAGAAGGATGGAGTTTGGTGGGAGCAAGGCGTCTTTGCAGACTTCGCCAATGATGAGCACTCGGCGGAGGAGGATAGGGAAGAGATCGGAGGGAAGAAAGAGAATTAGGGCAGGACAGAAAAGATTTGGGTTCTCGCCGCGTCTGAGTTCATGGTCCAAATAATAACATGCATGTGTATTCTCAGTCTCCATATTCTGAATATCAAAAGAGAAAATTAAAAACGAAAGAAAACTTGCTTGCTGGATGTTGGGCATCCTAATGGTTAGCACAAATCATTTTCCTTTGGTTGGTAAAAATTTTGACGAGCTATGGGCTAGGATTTTATAGGCTAAAACCTAATGTCAGACTCCATCAAACAGAACAAAGAGTAAAAACCTTTTCTCATATGGCAAAGGCCTAAGCCATACCTTTGTAATTGGGCCTTGGTCCAGCTTCTAGATTTACCCAAAAAATCTCATTGCTATTGGATTAATTATTCTTAAAAAAAAAAAAAAAAAAAAAAGACGACCTTATATTGATTTTGGGCAAACTCTTAAAGTTAAATTCAAAATTCAGTAATAAATAAATATTATCTTATAAATAAAATTTACTTTTTAAGTATTGGGGTCATCATTTAAAAAAATTAAAATTTTTAAATGCACCAGACTAATGTAAAATACATCTTAAAAATCATTTAAAAAATAATTAATCTTGTGGCATGCTATAGACATCTAACCATACATATATGATAAAAAAAATAAAAAAAATGGGTATGGCGTTGTTGTTGTATAGTATGGTTGTAAATTAGTTTTTTATTTAAAATTATAGATTTTATAAAAATTAAAAATCACAACCATATATGTATATGAAATGGAGAATTAATTAGAAAAATGCATGTTTGAAAACTCTATCTTTGTTACATAGCTGATTAAAAAAACCTATATTAATAAATAGTAATTATTGTATTCTATATATAGATGCAACTTAATTACCAACACAACTAGGAGATCTCTTTTATAAGAAAAAAATAAAAAAAGATAAAAATAGTAAAATACCACTCCATTACGCCATTAGCGTTGCAGAAAATTTTGAGTAAATGAACCAAATTCCCTCTTTCTTTATTCTTCAATAGAAATGTTCTGTATTCTATTCTGTGTTTGAACTTTTGTAGTTGTATGCAATGTTTTTGGACCCAGCCTGGCTCGGCCGATTGAACCGGACCTAGGTCTGAAAATAGGCCAGTTGAAGACTTCAACCCGTTTAGTTCAATGACCCGTTGAAACCCGTCCCACCTGTCACGCCCGCTGAACCCGTGCGACCTGCTACAACTTGCCGGGCTGAATTTCAACATCTTTTTTAAAGTTTTTTAACTTTTTAATTTTAAGTTTTTAACTTAAATTAAAAAGCAATTAAGCTAAAAAGTAAAAACCCTAAGAATCGGGAAAGTGGGAAACAAATGCAAAACCCAGAAAACCAACAGAACTGCAGTAGAATAGATCTTCTCTTTCGTCAATTGTTCGCCGATCATCTCCTTCATCACTGCGCTTCTTCTCTTTCGTCGATCGTCTTCATCTACCTCATCTGCCTCATTTGTTCTGTTCAGATCTCTTTGTCTACCTCATCTCCTCTGTTGATTGCCGATCACCTCCTCCTTGCTTCACTAAATTGAAACAGCAAAGCAGAACAAAAGTTACACTGTTACAGAACAGATCATCTCCCCCATCGCTGCCCTCCTTCTCTTCCTCATCTCCTTTGTCGCTGCCCTTCTTCTCTTGTGCCACCGAATAGAAGTAGCAACAGAAATCAGAATCTTCCTTGTCCACTAAATAGCAACTGCCTTCTACTCCTCATCTCCTCTACTGCTGCCTTCTTCTCCTGCTCCACCAACCAAAAGTAGCAGCAGAAATCAGAATTTTCCTCATCTCCTCTGCAGCAGCTCTCCTCTGTTAACATTTATTTTTGTTATGGATTTGGTTTGAGA